ATAGTCAGACCGCGATGGACTATCAAGACTATCTACGCAGACCGATTTTATGATATGAGTTTGTCTCAAGACAAGTAAAAAAAACTGGAACATCTCCTATGAGAGAAAAGTCAAACTACATAATAATTTACTACGTTACCGTTACAACCAATATTTCTTAGGAGACACTTCAAATCGATGAACCAGAACTAAGCTATATTCAATTGAGCTATATTGTTGTACAGCCCTAGATTTTAAAAGAAACGACCATTAAGCAATACTACACACCAAAATGTCTAATAAGTTGTTCATTATCTAACTGCTTTTTTTTTGCCGAGTTTCTCTGCTAATTTCTTATAAGGCGGGAAAAGCAAAGCGGAAAGAGAAGCGTAGCGCGTGCCGCCGTCCGGTTAAACAGGTTTATTTACCGTACAAAACAACCAACTGTACAATATCGTAGGATATTTGTGATTCACTTGTGTTCCATTCGCGCCTTATTTGTACTCTACTTCGTGCAGTTAGATATAATTTTGAAATAAAGGGTTGTGTTCTACAGCTTAAAATGTTTGAATGAAGGACAACTCGGAGGTTAAAGTGTATATGACACGAAAATTTTTTCCCTGGATTTTGGCAGTTCAATATGTATGATAAGCTGTGAGACAGTTACAAAATGATATTTTTTTTCTCTGACCGCTTTTCGTCATGCAAAACTTGCTCGATTTCTAAATATAACTCTCAGGAGACTGGGGACGAGAAACAAGGTTATGACGTCACGTTGTTTGATGGCTTAATCAGTGAACGAAGTAATTTACGACGCGTACTTGTCAAATCCGTCGCTTTCCGCTACGTCTGTTTCCACGACATCCAGTGATTCCGATGTCAGTAAGGAATCGTGTGACTCCTCTGGGAGTCTCGATTTGGCGCAGAGTGACAGTTCTAATAGCGAAACCAGTTATCGATGGTGTTATCATCCCATATGAAGATGAGCCGCTTGCGGATTGTAGCGAAGAAGTAAGCCCGAACGCAAGTGAAGAAGAAACAGGTATTGATGGACTTACCCCGTCGACTTAGGAGTCTCGATTTGAAGGAAATGTGAGTGTGGATTCATGGTAAGTTGAAAGATTTACCGTAATTCTTTTTGAACATAAGCAGGACTGATACGCGCTCCTGCGTTGCAAGTTTGTCCGATAATTTGTCCTTTACCTCTTCCAGGTGTGAATGCGAGCAGTGTGATACTGAAACGTTAGTCGGTGCCCTCGAGTTTCGATGTTGCAGAGAAGTCACTAATTCATCCGCGAAATTGATGTTTGATGGTTCGATCGAACGAATCAATTGTAGCACCAAACATGAAGACTTTAACGCCATTACGAACCGCGCCGTTCTTCTGCAAGTCGCTCCTCTCCTTAGACGCTAAGATGGAGGAACTTATCGTCGCCGCAGTAGAGGGTTAGAAAACGAGTAAGGTTTTTTCCTTTAAAATCGGTAATTCTATGTCCTTCTTGTGTTAATCGCTTGACCTAATAATTGGGATACTTGTGGTTTCATATTAATTTTTTAATTCTCCAGTCATAAGAAACGAGTCTCCTGTCATTCAGTTAGGAATGAAGGTCCAGTAATTACTTGAACTGTAGATGTCTTCATTTCTCACTTTTATGTTTACATAAAGGTTCATCAGAGCCGTTGCATATCGATGGACAACAAGGTGGCTTTGTGGGTACATAGGCTGGGAAAACAGACGACCTTTCCCAGCTTGTGTTTATCACAGCATGAGGAAAAAATACAACACACGACAACACAGGGGATATGCTAATGTCCAGGATGGAAAGGAGCATTGAACTCTTGTAAATGTACCTCATTGGTCCATGAAAAAACAATTTGTGATATAAAAATGCTCCCGTTTTGGTTTCATTTGCATGGGCCATGTCCTTTTGTATATACTTCAAAAAATAGTAATAAAGACCATGAGAAAGCAGACATGGATAACAAACTGTGAGTCACTTTATTTGCCACTTTTCTTCTTGTGACAATGAGATGGCCTCTTGCTTTTGCGGGTGTGTCTAGAAGTGGATTGACTACTGCTTGGTTGACTGTTGCCATCAGCTTGTTGTGAAGTTTGTTCTGATTCTATAGGATAACAATGGTGATATATTATGTAAGTGCATCGTTACAGTGTAGGTGTGTTACTTTGTATGCCCAATGACAAATGGTGTTTAATCCAGATTGAATGCAAATGTGCTTCATTCTCACTTGTCTTGAGTTGGGAATAAAAAATTCACATTTAACAACAAAGCCCATCTAAGGCATTCCCAACTTCGAGTAGAGAGTTGCATATCCACAGGTGGATAAATAAGCAGCCCCCCACAGACAGGTGGCAAAGATGAAATAATTCACACTTACTAAAACTTCATTGTAATATTATATTCATTTCATGTTAAATTTGGATAGTTGAAATGAATGGATTGATAAAGCTATTAACTAACCAGGTGGAAATAATTCTGTTTTCTTCATTGCCTTATATGCCTTTATAGCTTCCTCCTTGCTCAATCTTTCTGAAAACTGCCAATTGAGGGGCTCAGGTGTTCTTGATGCATACTTCTTAATTATTTCCTCCCTCTTTTCTTTTGGAAAATTGAAGAGTAGTTTCTTCAAACCATCAACATAACCTAAAAACAACAAAAACAAAAAATTATATATATTATAATATACAAAAAGGTTTGTAAACAGTTCAGGGTATTTCCAAACAAGAAATAATACTCTTTTATTGCAGCTTTACCAGAGAATATGGCAAGTAAAGCAAAGTATTAAAACATTATTCATGTTGTTTTCTTATAAATAAGAGTTAATCCACTGTAGTCATATTTATTCTTACCATAGGTAGGTGGGCATGCCACCTCTCACACAACTTCCTCTCCCATTTTAAATTTTGGGTAAGTGACCCAAACATACTCTTTTCCATCAAATGCCATTTGTGTTTCCCTCTGTAAGTTCTCATTGAAATGCAAACTTGCAAGTATGTGCCTTAAAAAAAATTTTCAGGAATGAGCAAATTCATGTCCATTTTATAGGTTCATACAAAAAAATGACTGCAAATCATTTAGAGGAAAGAAACACCAAAACATAGATATATTCTGATTAAGCAAGAGACATGAACATAAAATTAGTACAAGTGACTCCCTTAGAAATAAATGGGGTAATTTTCTAAGGGAACTGGTGCTCTATCAGTAGAGAAGTATAACAAAATAATTTGGTTTTATCAACTGAGTTAATTTTGTAGATTGGTCACAGTAAAGTGGTTTTAAAGCTAAGAAAGCCTTAGAACACTTTATGGTGGCCAATCTACATCACTGACTTGGTGGATTAGAAAAATAAAAATCTATGAAAAAAGAAAACGTATTATTACACAATCAAAATTACCTGCTGAGAGTCCCCAGCCAAGTAAAACGAGTCATTTTAGGATGCCAATAGTTCAAGGTCGCATGGAAGCCTTTCAGGCAACTTGTCTGGGCATCTGTTGAAAGTTTCTTTATGTCATTCAGTAACATTTTCTTGGTCAACAGCAGTTTCAGTTTGTCAAATGCTTCAGTTCCTGTTAAAGGTAAATATGCAAGAAATTACACAATGGTCTAGTTTGTTGACAACAGTGGATTAAGTTATTTGCCTAAGGTGCATTGTAAACAAAAACAGAACTGGCAATGGCAAGTTGAAAAAGATATGCAGTATATTATTGATTTTCATACCAACTCTAATCCACTTCCTGGGTTCAAGCTGTCCATGACAGCACTGTTTGTAAAGTGGATCTGGGTGGTTATTGTGCTTGTTGCTGACATGACGCAATAATGAATTCCATGTGGCAAGGATGTGGGACTCAAACCCAGCCTTTGTTGAGGTTGCACACCAGTAGAGATGCTTTCTTATTCCCTTCATCCACTCTTTTATAATTTCACATCCTTTCTCTCTACTCAGAGCCAACAACTTTTTCCCTAGTGATCTTGCCACATGCCATATATCAAAATAGTGCTTGGTGTTGACACAGTTCTCCCTAATCCATTTTGCAATGCCTCTGTGCCTATCAGACACAAAAATACCAATTGGCAAACCAAGATGCTGCAAGAAAGAAAAACACCTCTTTGCTCCTTCCAGTTCAGTCTGTTGACTGCCTCCAGTTTCATTTGCCTGAGACAAACAAGAAAATAGAGGTTATCAAACCACCAGGAAATACCATACAAATCATTGGTTTCTTGTAATTTTTATTATTATTCATTGGTTCTTGTAATTTTTTATTTTACAAGAAAATAGATTATTATTATTATTATTATTATTATTAATATCATTATCATTTTGTCTATTATTCATCAGACCATTCCATTTCAGTGAACCCATAATTTATATCATAATTATTTAGGTATATACCACACAGAAACCCAGAAACCAAAGAAATTAATTTCTTTCTGTCAATAAACCAAGAAAAGGTTTGAAAAATTACATTGTTGAGACACATGTTTGTCTCTTCCATCAAAGGGGATTCAAAAGTTGTTGTCTTCATGAATGAAAAATCCTTAAACATGTATGTTTGAGTAATTCACAGCATAATGATGTATTAATGTGTGTTGAATGTAGGTTGTGTCGCCCCATTGCCTTGTCGCCCCAGGTTATGTCGCCCCAACCGAAGTTACGTCGCCCCAACATCGGAGTTGTGTCGCCCCATCATCAAAATTATGTCGCCCCATCGAAGTAAAGTATTAAGTTTAGCTGACTCGCTTGCCGTTATTTCAAAATGCACCTGTGTACTGCGAAGATGATAAATCTACTTCGAGCATTTCGGCTTACTTCAGGATTTTGTTTCAATAGTTTGATGTAAAGCATGCTTAAAATGAAGTCATGTAACATTAACTAACCTTTCATTCGTGTTTTTATATCAAAAGGTGCTTTAGTAGAGGAAAGGGCGATCAAAAAACTTCACAAAACAAGCGTAAAGTTGGAGTGTCTCGACTCACTTTCTATAACTAACTTAACGAATTGTTTTAAGCGCCTCTCGGCCCAACAAGTAATGAACAAGCCTTGAGAAGTTGTCTCACTGTCTTGTCGCCCTCTTCATATTGTCCCCACAGTGAAAATACCTTAGCCTGGATTTGACGATATCTGCGCCGCTGAACTCGTCGAAGTTTCTTTTCTGCGACCATATGCACGTTCAGGGAAGTTAGTTTGGCTTCTTTGTAGAGCAGGTAGATAAGTAAGTACATGGGTAGCTGGCTCTTGCCCTGGGCTCTGGTGTGCAGACCGAGCTGCCAACCTTCCACATCATTGTTGGTCCTGACCGACTGCATAAAGACTGACCAAGAGGATGGCAGCCAGGTGTTGCTTTCGATCCAGGTGCTCGATACGTAGTCGGTGAAGTGGCGAAGAGGTGCTGTGTTTGCTGTTTGCTGGAGGCGCTGGAACTGCGGCCTGATGTCTTCTTCTTGATGATGATGATCGTTTATTCAGCCTTCTTGCAAATAATAAATTGAATTATGGCCTTCAAAAACAACTAATGACGAAATTTTTTAGAGAAAACAAGAATATACTAAATAATGGTAAGTGACACTAACCTTCCTCCACAGGGCTTGAGTCCAATGGAAGACGCACCCCAGTAGTTTGACGTCTGGGAGCAGTTGTCGAAGTACCTTCCATACTGCACACTCGAAGTCTAGCGTGACTTGTCGTAGCGCTGGGGATGGTAACAGCTCTAGCAGCTCTCGGAAAACAGCTCTGTAATCACGCTTCCGTTTGCCCGACATAAGGACAAACAACCAACGGCACCTGCTTGACGTAGTCAACTGCCTTTACGAAGGCGTTGACTGTTAACAGCTGGGTAAACGGCTGACGGTACAGCTTGAAGGTCGCATCCACGTACCAGCTTTTTGCTCTGTTGAGTAGGTCGAGTTGGTGTCGTGTCGCGAAAATCAAATGACGGCGTCCACCAACCTAGTTAGAAAACGAATGCCATAATTAACCTACTGTAAACTGCCGCATAATAATTACAACACTGCTCCAGTCCGTTTAAAAGATCTTTGTTGTGAAACTGTAAAACGGTTTAAAATTAAAAGGATGGTTTTAGGATTTAATAAGTAAATTAATCTATTGAGCAAACAGATTCCATAAAGATTTTGTGTTGTGAAATTGTAAAAACAATAAAAAACGGGTGGTTTTCAAAATAAGTTACATCGAGTTACATCGTAATAATCTTACAAACTTTTCCTTCGATCGATCGATAAATCTTACAGCAGTGTTATGTTTATGTTATAAGTCGATCGTTCGCGTAAATCGATCGGAGAATCTTACAAACTTTTACTTGATAAGCGAAGTTGCGCGTTTGGGCGACGCAACTTTGATGTTGGGGCGACACAACTCCGATGTTGGGGCGACGTAACTTCGGTTGGGGCGACGTAACCTGGGGCGACAAGGCAATGGGGCGACACAACCTGACACCATCCTAGCCCTATACCGACCAACATAGTGTGTTTACGTTTGATTCTCTGGTGGCGCTGCTTGCCCTTTTGGCATCTATTTTGTTAATTATCTCAAGCCTTTTTCGCTTCCATGATATACATTTCCATAAATTTGACTGTTTCACTTGCCACTGCGGCAAAATGCATTTCGCTTTGAACGAAATTCACACCGTAGGGCTGTGAAATGATAACATTAGCATCCTGGCCTCAAAAGACAACATTCTAGAATTTGGACTGAACTCTGGGATGAGGGGACATTGGAGCAAACAACTGTTATTTTTGATTCCATGAGAAAATTTGTGTAAAAACAAACCACGTATTTCAAATGTAGGCAGATAACGGGAGATTTATTCTTTATAAATTGTTTTCACCAAAAATATTCAAATTTCCCAATTTCCAACCAGAGGAACCCCGTTTGCAAATGCGACGAAATACCACAAACTTTATTTGATTGAACACAGATTCAATACGATATTCACAAGTTCACTTGTCTACCATGGCTCTCGAGTCGAAGATTCCCGTCGAGTGGGGTCGGGCAGGATTAAGTCGCGCCAGCTTCTTAAATGGGTGCGACGAACCCTAAAATTAACCGTCAAACGGTTTAAAGAGCTTTCATATCTCTCTGTTTTAAGCGCTTGCCGCGAACCGAATTTTATGGTTACCACATAGTCCTCAACTACACTTACTCTCCCTCTTTTTGCCCAATATCCCAGCCCAGGATGCCTCTCCAATCAGTTAATTTAATGGAACTTTTACAGAGAGACAGGAGCCCATTACTCGGAGTGGGCAACTTCCAAACCGCATGTGTGAAACGGTGTTTTCACAAGTAGATTTATATTTAAATAAGACTTTCCTGCGGATTGGTATCGGATAGACAATGAGACCAAATCTAAAAGTTAAGCTTATGCTGCAGGCCCGGATGTTGAGAAATTCATGATCGTGAGATGTCTCTTTTCTGCATGCCCTCTAGAGAGAAAGTGTGCGCTATATACGCTCGCAGTACGAAGTGTGGGAAAAAGGTTAGAGTCTGGTCGTTGTTCTGGATTGCTGAATCCCGATGGTTAGATTTGAATGAAAAATAACGCTCCATTTCCTGTGAAAAAAAGTCGGCATTAATTCCAGGTTTTATCAAGGCGAGAGAAACCGACAAACAAGGTATCGTATTTCTCGTTTGTCGTGTATAAAGCATATAAAAAAAACAACTTTTACGGAATTAGGCAGTTTTTAGAGTCAAGTTTTATTGAACGTAGAACTGCCGGAATCGATCACTGATTGCTGCCATACACTGGATATGACTTCACTAGATAAGATAATCACACTGTCCGTCTGTTATGTGTCCGCCATCTTGGGATCTAAGACCGTTACGCAATACTATTGGAAATGTTTTTTCAAATCTGTCTGCATGGTGCATCCAACAACTTCAGAACTCGATCATTTTGTATACAACAGTGGAAAAGGCCTCTTAGCTTAAATAACCTCAATTGCCCACACGATCTTATAATTATAGAGAAAATAACTCAAAGCAGGGCAACAAATTACTTTGGCATACTTAACGGTGAGAGACATGGACAATCAACTAAGGTGATTTACAATACAGTGGAAACGTAATTTGCGTCCGCCGATATATAGCTGACTTATCTCCCCAAAATATCTCTGCAATGATATGACAAAGAGCGCTCGGCACGTTATTTCGACAGCGTCGAAAAAGTCCCCAATTTCTCGACTAATTTTATTGACGATTGCCATTTATTCAAATCGAGCAACACATGGCAATCCGGATTTCTGGTCATTTACGTCTAGTTTCCTTTCCCATCTTGATCGCTATCTGAAATAATTAAGTTCGTGTTGTAGAATTGAAATGTTAGACCGGGTTTTAAAGATTAGAGTATGCGCCAGTTAGTTCCATTTATGCAAGTCTTTCTCACAATTTTATCGATTGCCATTTATTTAGGAATCCAAAACGGCAACTCCATTGTCCTTCATAATACAGTGATGCTTGGTTTTTAAATTGTGGCTGGTTGACAGCCGTCCTCAGCGAAATATTATTTGGAGTTTCTTGTTTGCTCAAATCCGCAATCCTGCAAAAAGAATCTTTCTGATTCTTGGAATTTGCCCGTCATGACTGTTTCGGCTTTGGAGATTAGCCAAGGGCTAAGAAAATTCAATGAATTGATTGCATAACGCTTCATTTTTATATCCCAGAGACATGTGTCACGTTATTATTGAGGGGATGATATACACTCACTGCAGGCGATTCTCTCATATGTTAGGCGCAGAAAACATTTTAAATAGCGAAAGAATGATGTGTTTCCCAATCATCTTCAATGCCATTGGGAAATTGGGAAATGCCGGGCATTAAACAATTTAAGAGTATTGCGTTTTGGGCGAAAATTGTAATACTGATAATGACTTTTAAGTGAGTATATTTGGAAACATTTGGAGACTGGTTTTTCAGTCTTCAGATCCAAGGAGTCCTCGAGATCTAGAACTGTTTGTGACAAGCAGTAAAAATAGTGTGATCTGAAAGACCTTAATTGAACTGTCACTGTCACTGATAGGCTCAGATAAATTATGCCGTCATAATCATGAGTATAATGTTTCAGTCAGAGAAGATGGAGCATAATTCCAGCATAAATACGAAAAATTCTTGAGCGTGAACACGTGAACTGCATTTCTAGTACTTTTGCAATAACGTTTTCAGGGTCGTTTTCATCACTTTACTGTAACTTTTCAGGCTAGGCTACATTATTGAAGGCCTGGCTACTACCTCACGCACTCAATAAGAGAGAAATACGTGTAGCCAAGGAATCTGGTCCATAACATGATCTCTTTTGTGTGAAGTTGCAGTAAGCCACCTTTTACATATTGTAATTTAATTTTACCCGTCGATGGCAGGGAGAGGGGGAGGCCTGGGGAGTAGGGGAGTTTAAAGGACAGGAGAAGGGGTTTTCAGGGGTCACGTTTAAGAGTATAATTTTCAAATTTTCGATTACAATATATCTGGCCCTAATCACCGATTAGTTTTCTGCCATTTGACCACTGACATAAACCCTATTACGACTTTCTATTGCGAGATTGCTGAGTATGCCAAGTGTTTCGTTGTGTATTATCAAGGAGCCTTGGTGCACGACTCCTATTTCTGTGGAACGAATCTGATTGCTAAGTTGCAGTTGTTTTGGAGACTCTTCTACTTGCTATTTTACCTCTGGCATAAGCCGATGATAGACATTGCTGCAATTTCTTAGCTGGCAATAAACCTTCCAGAAAAATAACGAACATTTAACTCATATGACCTGTTCAGGTGTCCATGGCATGATGTGGTATTTGTGATGATCTAAACACTAAGTTCCAGGCCAACAAGTGTAGTTCAAAGTACCTTCGCCCTACCACTGTTTCTTTAAGAGTCGCGAATACATTCTCTTTGTCATAGTTCTATCAACCTGTTCACAAGAGGACAGCTTATTTTTATTATTTCCCGTTTCTAGGACACTTTTCGCACTAAGGAAACTGAAATTAAAGAGACAAGTTTGATTTTAGTTTTACAACGACTAGCCTCAGAGCTCTGGAATCATCTGTTTTTAACTCGTTGTCTTTAACCACTGCAATGTGCTGCTGACACGCCGACGATTTTTGCGAGAGCATTGACTGTGCGTTAATTACTGAACTATCTTGTTTTTGGCAAGGCTTTTTGCGATGACATAAGGCAGTTTAAAATTGAAAGAACTTCCTTTTATATTTGGTAGTCCATGATATGTAAGTTTGCTTCCCACTGTACCTAAATGATGAAAATTTTACAATTTTTTTTGTTGAACTATTGGCGAGTCGCTGTCGCCTTCCTACCAACCAAAAGTTGGTTTCTTTGTTCTTCGGTTTACGATGAGAAATTTTCTAAAGCAAAACGGCAGAAAAATAGAACTTTTTCCTCGCGGAAACAAAATTAAAAAATGTTGCGCTATAATGGTAAACTTGTTGGAGTAATATATGGCGATATAATAAACTCGCTAGCGGGACCAATTAGACTCAGTTTTTCACGATGGATGTAATTATTTATAGATAAACATACGAGCGAGTGCAGAGAGATCAGTAGAACAATGTCTGAAAAGTTTCAGTTTATCTAAAAATTAATTACTAACACTTTTATAAGCTTTAGATAACGTTAATTGCCTTATTTTCATTGTCCGACATGAAAACTATATGTACATATGATTGTAATCACATTATCAAAGGTGGCGGCAATGAAATTTCTCACGGAAGAGGGGTTGGCTTGTGAAATTGAAGATGACCCCTGACATTTGACAAAATGGCCCCACAAAGGGTCAAAACAGCTTTAGGGCTATAGAGCTGAATCGGCCTTTTGGGGCTGAAGCAGATTTTTTGAACTTACAGTGTATAATTCCTATAATTGATTCGGACCGCATTTTCCTCAGCGAGTGGCCATTTTGTTTTGACATCATAAAATTCTGACATGATAGCGAGGTCTTACGTGGAAAGGCTCGTCTTCCGGTCAAGGCAGTTATGTTGAGCCAAATTCAAACGCAGAAACGTCAAAAGAATCGAAAGAAAAATATTCCAAACTTAACTTGCCTCTAAAAAAGCAGAAGCATTGAAGCAGTATTATGAAGTCGGAATTGACCGAGAACTTGAAATCAATCTCGGAACGGGTCACAAGCTCAGAGAAAGTCTCACTGTGTTCGGTGACGTTTCTGAAGACGTACCAGAGGATACTGAAAAGTAAACATCCTAGGAAGCAAAAGATATGCTGTTCGTTAACATTTTTCCAGCGCGTTGAAAATATTTGGAGGATAACAAACACGAGAATTACTTTATAGTGAGTATAGTAGGACACATAAAGAGTGGCTTTCCAGTCCGCAAATCCAAAGATTACTCGAGATCCAGGACTGTTCATGACAAGCAGTAGAAACAGTGATATCTGAAACACCTTGAAATCGTTTTACAGTTAGTGATGTGCTGTTTTGAAACCCTTCAATGAAAACAGCAAATCACTAACTGTAAAACGATTTCAAGGTGTTTCAGATATCACTGTTTCTACTGCTTGTCATTGTTCCTGCCGTTTGACTGTCGATGTAAACTCCATTGCGACTTCTTACTGCAAGGTTAAGGAATACGCCGAGTGTTTCGTTTCATGTGATCAAGGAGCTTTGGTGAATGGTTGTGACTTTTATTTCTTTGGAATAAATCTGATCGACAGGTTAAAATTGTTTTGGAAATGCCATGATAAGTTCGTTGGTTATTTCTGTGAGCCCAATGGCGGAAAAACAGAACATTTTCTTCCCAGATGACAAAATTCTTTGCGACGCAGACTGCGAGGATATGTCGCGCTCTGGTGATATACTGAACTCGGTAGGACCAATAAGAATCAGTTTTGCACGTTGGGTATATTTAAGATTAACATAATAACCCACGTACCAGTGAATGAACACAGATCAACAGATCAAAGTCTGAAAAGTCTCAGTTTGTCTAAGAATTCATTATTTATTCTTTGGTAAGCATTAGATGATCTTGCCTTATTTTATTTGTAGAAAACAAAAGCTACATCATTTGTAATCGCAATATCGAAAGTGGCGGAAATAAAATTTCTAACGGAGGAGGTGGATCCTAAAATTGAAGATGACAGTATTGGGGGGGAGGGGGGGGGGGGGAGAAGGGGAAGGGAGATAAGCGAAAGCCGGCTGGTCCACATCCTGCACAATAACATAAGAATCTGTGTAGTTCCACAAATTCAGAGACGTCTTAGACCATTTGCAAATGTAATATTTCAATCACAGAATTTTATCTTGACCAGTTGCAGCACGAGTCCCACTTGATTTTTAATTAAAAAAAAACCTTTCTTCAAACCTTAACAACCAATTTTATTCACCACATTTCCTCGATCAATCGCCCGGGCGCCTGATCAAAGTTTCAGCTGAAAGGAGCGGTGCTAATTGAAAGGAGGGCACTCTATCAAGGCATTTATATTACTCGGAAGCTACTATTTTGTACTGATTACGCTTTAGTTCAAGCTTTATAGTTATTGATAAAGTGGCACAGAAACAGATGTTCTTCCTATCTAATAAAGTGAGGGATGGGGAGTTGGGGCCGGTAAGGGGGGAGGGGAGGGGGGTGGGAAGGGGACTGGAGACAGGACTTTATTCGAGGAGGGCGCTTAAAACGCAATATATAATAAAACAAGACTTCTTCCCGGTAAGAGTATTCTCTACCAGCACAAATCTATCTATCTGATGTAATGTTGTCTTGTTGACAGGGACTTGTCTAATAATCAGTTAAAGAATTTACCTCCGGGAGTCTTCACCAGGAATGAATACCTCAACAACCTGTAAGTACTAATTGACGTAAATCTTTATTAACTGCTGTAACATTCATGCGATTAAGGGGAGGTACTGAAACAGTCTCACGCAGAATTCCTTTAATTAGTTGCAAATGAAATATATACAACCGGTGGAAAAAACAAAGTTCACGGCGAGAAAGAAAAAAAACACAAACCGCCCTAGCCAAACGAGGACTAGAGGCTGGCCTCAAAATCAAACTCAACCGTGTATCGAGGGTGGGAAGGGAAGGCAGAGACCAGGCAACCAGGTAGGTACAAGTTAAACAAGACTTTTGGCCACCTTATCTTAGGATTGCAGTTTTTTTAGCCCCCAGGAGCATCCATTATCAGAGCTCAGTTACGAAATAAAAGTCTTGTCACAGTTTCTCACCCATGCTTATGCTTTAAAGTAAATTGACGACGTTGATGCAAAACACGGTGTGTGAAAAGATATGCATCGAAAACCTTGCGACGTATTCTCACTTCTTCAGCACGCGACCATATTACGAGTACTGCAGTTTGAATTTGTGTAATAGCTGCCTTCTATGCTACGAGCAGCTCATTTGGTTTCGGGCGCATTAATCATTAAATGATTCGGTAATTTGTTTAGTTTAATTCGTTGGAAAACTCCGGCGTAACCAGAATTTCTCTTTCACTAGACAAAGCTTTTTTTTTTTTTTATTTCAAACACATAACGAAATGCTTCTTAAAAGAGCCCAAATGATTCAGGGCTGTAATTGCGGCAAGATCCTTCATGAACCGAAAATTGTTTTAGCTCGTAGATAGCATAGAGAACAGAGGAAAGAGAGGCTTCACCGATAAAGTTTTACTTGCGTAAAGATAAAGGTTAAATTTAACAGGCTTCCAAGCAATCTTTGAAATGTAACTACCACGACGTTTTCTACAAAAACAATCAGTAATCATGAGGAAAGTAATAATCACTTCCATCGGCGGCTAATCCACGTAGATTTACGCCTGTTCAGTTTTAAGTACTAGTGACTCAGAAAGTAAGTGTAAGCAAATTTAAATGTATATTTTGAAGTTGTGAGAGTCTGTTCGTTTGTTTGCTGCAATGGCGTGTGCAAATCTTGTCTTTCTTTCCCCAAAAAACTGAAGTCACATGAGGCACTTTATTCAGATACAAGTGGATTTAATGCTGCATTTACTCATGCCATGGAATTCACTCGGTTTCTGTTGTGCAACTTACAGTGGAAATATCCAACATTCAACTGTTTAACGGACTTGGAAAGACTTAACGAAAGTGTATTGTATTAGATCTTAGAACTCAAAACATCGCTTGGCGTTTTAAAACGAACAAACTATTTTGGCGATTTCAGATCTGAGCATATATAAGGACCTTTTGTCGCAGCGATTAGATCACTGTCACTGTCAATCGATGATGAAGGCACTAGACACCAGTATCGAAAGGTTGGGTCAATGAATTGTAACTTCTCGGTTACGTTCGTCAAATATTTAAACCAGAGTAGCATCAAACCAAGTTTGATTGACTGTAATTGTGAACAAATACCTCACGTTTTCACTTTTTAAGTTGCTTTTTGTGAAGGATTATTAAATTACAAACGGTTTCTAGGCCGCCTGCCTTAATTAATCATTAATCATTTATCGGATAATTGTCGTGACCGAAACATTAGCTTGTAAAAGCTACTAGGCGCATTAGGCGCACTAGGCGACTCAACACGCAACGGATTGAATACCGCCCGCTGTGAGCGAACCGGATGGAAGAATACTGTCCACTCGCAATACCATTCAGATTGTAGGATTTGTAGAATACCGCCCGCTCACGCACTGAGAAAAAAAAAACTGATCTTACGCGTCAGCTTCATGCGCACTCCACTGTTATGGATCCGGATCCGCCCTTAGTCTTGCTACTAGAATCATTACCCTTTCCTGAAAGTTGTACCACTATTTTCAAATTCGCACTGAAATTCTTTTAAAACCACCTACACCGTATTAGCAATTATTCAGGTTAACTTAGCTACGCAATACATCGCAATACATCGCTGATTCGACCATCATTCACGTCGTCATCAATAACCTCACTCTGATCCATATACAGAGAAAGATAAATTTTCAATATCTTTATAAAATATGACACTAATTGAATTCAACTAAACTTACCCACCATTCATTTACAATGCCTTAAAAAGCACTTTTTTTCCAAAAATAATTTTCACTGGTTTTCTAGAGGTGTAAAACGGCCCACCTGTCACAATGTTGTAATCCCTTGGCACACAATAAAGAGAGGGGTCAAAAGCTTTTCCTGTAACTTTTTAAATGGTGTCTACCTCAACACCAGTCTTTTCAATCACTTCATTATATATATAAATCACCCATAAAAAGCTGAGGAAACTGTTATGAGCTACACATATGTACAGAGTCAAGAACACCTCCTGTGACAGGGTACATACACGTGCATTTTGAATGGATTAGAGCACACACCTCAGAGATGCTCATCAAAGCAAATTATTGTCGTGATACTGTACTTTCTCTCCTGTTGATGTATCGTCACAACTGAACCCCCTAGTTAACCCATTCACAGACTACTTATAATGTGCACTGTTAAAATGCCTCCTCACCACACTTTTCATTTACTAATTTTGGTGGTATATCTGTATTTCTGCTGGAAATTCTCACCTGTCACAATTGTAAAGAGAAGTCACATATCAATCACTCAGGGAGTAAATGAGTGAACAAAAGAAAAAAAAAACATGATTAATGATTTTTGTTGATAAGTTCAAGAATTTTTCCAGTTGATTTGACTGCCACACCCTGGCAGCTTGAGGAAAGCCCAATTTATAAAACACTTCTTAAGAACAGTACAAAAAAATTCCATCAAGAAGCCAGCCTTACAAATGAAAGCTTGTTAACAGTACTGTTGTGAATGATAAAAGAAATCATGGCTACCACGACTGCTGCAGGCCAATGTCATTTATTAACTCTTTATTAATCATTCATTTTCCATACAACAAAAAATACTAAGAAAATAATGCAATGATATAACAGTTTCAGCCACACATCAGTTAAACTCTTGTTGTATACACGATGATGTTCATGAGGATGCTTCAGTTCCTAGAAGTAAAGGGTCACAATGATTTTTAAAGGATTGTCAAATAACACCAGATACATAAAGAGACTGGAATTATGTTTCTTAATTCAAATCCTTATTGTGTTTGGAAAGGTAAAGGTATGCATACATGCACCAGTAGCTTTTGAGGTATGCAAGTTGATGATTTGAGACTAGTGCTAAATAGGAAGTGAACAGAGATATATGAGGGTATACTGCATTTTATTATTTTTAGTCAAAATCACTCATTGAACTTACATGTAGTAGCTACCTGTTGGACAATATCAGCATGTACTGTTAATAACATCAGTATCATATCATTCATTAAGAAAAAAACCCTATTGGATGATCAAGAGAAACATATATTGGTTTAATTGTAATTTCCTGTTGAACACAATTTTTACATACAGCATACAAAATGATAATGGCAAATTAAAACACAGTACTATTTCTCAAACTAATAGACTCAAAATGTTACTGATCTTTTAACAAAGAGAAGAAAATGCTTTAGGATATTCAACTGAAATAAAAAACAACAACCCACAGATTGGTGCAAAATTTGAATAAGTTTTTATTTTCATTTGCCCAAGAAGAAAATGTCTTTTACACCATTATTTTTTATTAAGACCAATATCAAGATACAAACTACAAGCCTCCACCATCATTTCCATTGACTAAAGACAGCCACTGTGTTTCGTATTTCAACAATTAATTGCATTTGCCACCTTCTTATTTCAAGTGGAATTACAAAGAAGCCATTAAGGTGGTATGAATGAAAGTTGAATATCACTTGTGAGCAACATTAATTTTTTACCCCAGTCTTGGACAGCTTATCATTAAATCACAAGCTGTAAACTGTACTCCATTTTATAAAATGACTTCAGGACAGGAATAAAGAACATTCACTGTCAGAAAAAAAATGAATGGAATGCAGTCATTTTCACAAAACAAAAAGCTTTCTGTCTTTTAGTAATATTATTATGTAATATCAAAATTGTCCTCTGAATCATGTATGATTGGATTTACTTTAGAGTTACTAGTAATTTCTCCTGTTGCTGGAAGGAAAATTCAGGCAAAAAAACTGCAAAAATAATGTAACAATAAGTGGTGTGGTTTGGCTGGCTTAGAGGCAAGACACATCCTAAGCACTCAGCTATACACACAATTCAACAAAATTGAACATGAGTCTAATATTCAGTCATGAAATAAGCTAGTTCATTTACCTTGGCTAAAGTTACAAGTAGCTCTCAGCAACACAAGTCAATGAAAACTTTGAAATTGAATGGTTTAAAAGATAGGTTGCTGTCATTTTGATGATGTTAACAACAATTAATTTTCTAGTTGGGAAAAAAACCCAACATTTTCTTACCAGGCAATAAGATTGGAAGAATGCATGCACAACATCCTAAATGAAATTCACAAATTTTCCCCTTGGTTGTTACTATGATTAGAAAAAAAGGTGTATTCTCTCTTCTTTACTAAGACAGCGATCTGTATTGCTCACATGGGAGAAAGTATATGAACTGCCAGCTGACCAAGAGACTGATATAGGTACATGTATTTCATGTAGCAGCTTTATCACTCAACTTCCTACACTGATCCAGACTGCTCACCTCTTTTGACACAATATGTACAGTATATTGTTTACCCTTGAATGGTAACATTTTGTCCCAAGCCAGCTTTCTTGCTTTAGTCAACAAATTAATGGAATTGAACTATGGTAAATTCAACATTCGCTTCGCAGCTGTAAAAGTTTGGAATCACCTTGACGAAAGCATTAAACACCTCCCCCTTAAAACATTTAAAAACAAAGTCAAATTAAACATCTTACAGTCTTACTGTTCATGAGTTTTCAACTGGTCTCTTCTTCTTCTTTTTCTTTTTTCTTTATCTGATTTTTTAAAATTTATTTTTTGTCCTCTTTTTTTTTTTTGACCAATAATTTGCTTTACTCGAGCTTAAATAGTGCCAACCTACGTCCTATATTTAAACATTATTTACTTTTACTCAGCTGGATTAGCTTTTCAGTTATTCTGAGTAAATGTTACCTTTTTTTGTATTAATATATTATGTGTGCAAATTAAGTTTAACTTCTCAATTTGGTGATAAAGTTAGTTGTTGTTGTTATTGACAAAATACACAAGTCATCATAGTTGTTGTTGTTATTGACAAAAAACAAAAGTCATCATGGTATGATCCAAAGCATTTTACTCTTCTCCTTCTACTTAAAGAAAGTGACATCAATGATAATTAAGGTATTGGCATTAAATAATTAAATGTCTGTTTATAGGAGCAATCACCAGCAAAATTTAATACATTTCAAAACATTTCGCACAGCTCCCATGAAAAAGGTACATGTACTTTAACACCTAAAATAGTTTAGCCTCGGAAGCCAAACATGTTTATAGAAAAAACCTTGGGAGGATGAACCACACTACTCATTGAGTGCAGTACTCCTTCTTCTAATTCCTTCTACACAAGTGTTCTTAAAAGCCACTCAGGGACTTGAGAAGATGATGTCAAACTATAAAGACACTCTCAGAATATGTAAGCCTGGCTCATCTTGCTCCTGGTTGCAAGGCTAAGGATTAACAAATAAATGTTGTCTTTCTAAATATACACAGTGTGACATAGCATAGGTGTGTCAATTACAAACCTTTAGACACCTGTACCATAAATTACAGCCATGATCCAACCATGAAGTGTACCCAGTACAATGTCACATAATTATGTGCTGCCAGCAGTGGTAGTGATAATATCATACAGACATTTGTTAGGAGAGTTGAACCAACCTATATTTAAAGATCAGAAAATTAGTTGACAAAATGGTTAAACCTGTTTGTTCACAATTGAAGCCACCAAAAATTACAGGCAACACCTCCCTGTCACTTTCTAATCAAGTCAATGGATTTTAAAGATACTATTAATATAGATGGTTTTAACAACTTAAATTACTGATGCACAACTTAAAAGACCCACAGTCAATATTTAACTGATTTGTTCAAACCGATTGGAGTTCAGACCTTGGTGATACAAGTATGTACATATCAAGAGGTGCCTGATATAAATTTGTATTCCACACTTGTTTTAAGTGATGCCATGCATGTTGAATTCCAACTGAGAGAACAGTTTCATAATAAACCTTTAACTCCCATGTGTGACCAAGACAGAATTTTTTCCTTACAATATCAATACAATATTAAGCAGACAAGTGATGAAAATAAAGGAAAATATTAATTAGGGGATTATTAGTTGATCCAATACCAAATTCTCAAAATTAACATCAGAGGAACTATATGGCAGACAGTAAGAAGAATTACTAATGAGATCTTAGCAGTTAAAGGGTTAAAGCTGATGTCAACTGTAAAAATCATTTTGGCATTTCACATGCACAGGAAGTCCTTATTTGACTTAGAATTTTGCAAACCAGTCAATGAAGGCCTTGATGAGATTTAACTGTGAGCCATCAAAACATGATAAGCTCAATATTAAGGGGACCCTCTGGTTGGAATCCATCAAAAGAGGAGGTCATTAGTAAAATAGTCATCATCAGTAATCATCATTAGAACCATTCATAAAAAGCTGAAATTTAGCAAGAAGTGGACCACTCTACACACCAACCAATCAGTGAGGTTGGCCACATCTGTTTCTTCTTTGTTAATTATTGACAACAACAACAAAGTATCAAACATTTTTTAAGTATCTTCTGCCAATTCAAGTAATTGAGCACAAAATAGATCCAATTGGTTTGGTTCATGACTATATCTACACATAGTATGTAAGATTATAGGAGGCAATTATGGACTAAAATTGGATTTTGACTTTTGATGTCACCCTGGTAACAAAAGCATTTCAAGAAAAGTTCAACATGTCAAAACTCCTCTTATTTTTGACAAAATAGAATTTTGTTGTGTACCTGTACAATTTGTCGAATGAGAAATATTTTTGACTCCCTCACTAGAATCAGTTTTTCAGTGACATTCTTGGTCAGCATTTTGTTGATTTTCACAGTGGTGTCAAGTGTAACAGGCATCCTTAATGCTCTACACTGAATTTAAAAGAACCTTTGAGTTTTAATCAGAATTCATCCTTGTGTACATGACGAAATGACAAACACTCAATTCCATCACCGCAGCAATTTGGCACATTTTTTATCTCAATACTTGGGAAAGAGCCTTTGTAATACCTCAAAAACATTCATGACTCTTGAACCATTTTACACACAGCTCCTCAATCAAACTCTCTACATTCATAGTGAACAAGCCACAGTTTTTGCAAATAGCTTTCAGTAGAGTTCATTGCCATTCCCAGCTAAGATGACAAGTCCAAAAGGCATCGATTGGCACGATTTGATTCTCTTCGATACTTCAAATTGACCTGCACGTTAAATTTAAAAGAATGACATATCATTTTCTCGTTTAAACCTCATTGGGTTAGCTGCCTATTAAAAATATTGTGCGAAAATTTAAAAGAGTTTACCTGGAGCACATGTTAATCGAACATAACGTCTCCTCAGGAGCTGCAGAAATTGTGTTCCTGACGGATTGACACCAAAGCGATATCTTTAAGCTTTTCCCAGGATATCCACTACACTTCTATTCAGAGAAGTGACACGAACTACTCAAGTTTTCAGTTTTCGTTAAAAAGCCGACACTGTTGGCGATGGAATCACTTCGTCCCCAACATCATCCTAGCCCTATACCGACCAACGTAGTGTGTTTACGTTTAGTTCTCTGGTGGCGCTGCTCGCCCTTTTAGCTTCTATTTTGTTAATTATCTCAAGCCTTTTTCGCTTCCATGATATACATTTCTGTAAATTTGACTGTTTCACTTGCCACTGCAGCAAAATCCATTTCGCTTTGAACGAAATTCACACCGCAGGGCTGTGAAATGATAACATTAGCATCCTGGCCTCCAAAGACAACATTCAAGAATTTGGACTGAATTCTGGGATGAGGGGACATTGGAACAAACAACTGGTATTTTTGATTCCATAAGAGGATTTATGTAAAAAACAAACCACGTATTTCAAATGTAGGAAGATAGCGGGAGATTTATTCTTCAAAAATTTTTTCGACAAAAATGTTCAAATTTTTCCAATTTCCAACCAGAGAGCCCCCGTTTGCAAATGCGACGAAATACCCCAAACTTTCTTTGATTAAACACAGATTCAATACGGGATTCACAAGTTCACTTGTCTGCCGTGGCTCTCGGGTCGAAGATTCAAGTCGAGTGATTTAAAATAATCTGCTGTGGTTGGGTAGGGTTAAATCGCGCCAGCTTCTTAAATGGGTGTGACGAACCCTTAAATTAACCGTCAAACGGTTTAAAGGTCTTTCAGATCTCTCTGTTTCAAGCGCTTGCCGCGAACCGAATTTTATGATTACTAAATAGCCCTCAACTACACTTACTCTCCCTCTTTTTGCCCAATATCCCAGCCCAGGATGCCTCTCTAATCAGTTACTTTAATGGAACTTTTACAGACAGACAGGAGCCCATTACTCGGAGTGAGCAACTTCCAAACCGCATGTGTGAAACGGTGTTTTCACAAGTAGATTTATATTTAAATAAGACTTTCCTGCGGATTGGTATCGGATGTACAATGAGACCAAATCCAAAAAGTTAAGCTTATGCCGCAAGCCCGGATGTTGAGAAATTTATGATCGTGAGATGTCTCTTTTCTGCATGCCCTCTGGAGAGAAAGTGTGCACTATATACGCTTGCAGTCGGAAGTGTGGGAAAAAGGTTAGAGTCTTGTCGTTGTTCTGGATTGCTGAGTTCCGATGGTTAGATTTGAATGAAAAATAACGCTCCATTTCCTGTGGAAAAAAGTTGGCACTTATTCCAGGTTTCATCAAGGCGAGAGAAATCGATAAACAAGGTATCGTATTTCTCTTTTGTCGTATATAAAGCATATCAAAAAGACGACTTTTACGGAATTAAGCAATTTGTAGATTCAAGTTTTATTGAACGTAGAACTGCCGGAATTGATCACTGATTGTTGCCATTCACTGGATATGACTTTACTAGATATGATAATCACACCGTCCGTTTGTTATGTCCGCCATCTTGGGATCTGAGACAGTTTCGTAATACTGTTGAAAATTTTCATTTAAAATCTGTCTAGAACGATGTCAGCCTTTAAAAGGGTTCAAGCTCTTCAGAACGGTGTATCCGACAACATCAGAACTCGATCATTTTGTATAAACCAGTGGAAAAGGCTTCTTAACTTAAATAACTTCAATTGACCACACGAAAAGGTGCGCTTCATGGTTAATGTGAACATCGTTTGTGTCACAGTTCTGTAAAAAATGTCCTAGCGAGGGGGTCAAATTAAGATCGATCGTATAATCATAAAGAAAATTACCCAAAGCGGGGCAAAAAATTACTTTAGCACACTTAACGGTGAGAGACACTCAACTGAGGTGATTTACAGTACACTGGAAAAGTAACTTTCGTCCGATATGTAGCTGATTTATATCCCCAAAATATCTCTACAGCTATATGACAAAGAGCGCTCAGCACGTTATGTCGACTTAAGCGAAATATCACTTAATGGTTTTTAAATTGTGGCTGGTTGACAGCCGTCCTCAGCGAAATATTAGTTGGAGTTTCTTGTTTCCTTAAATCAGCAATCCTGCAAAAACAATCTTGCTGATTCTTGGAATTTGTCCGTCATGGCTGTTTCGGCTTTGGAGACTAGCCAAAGGCTAAGGAAATGAAAAATATTGATTGCATAACGTTTCATTTTAATCCCAGAGACAAGTGTCCCGTTATCCGCCATGGGGATGATAAAAACCCACTCCGACGATTCTCTCATATGCTAGGCGCAGAAAACATTCTAAAGAGCGAAAGGATGGTGTGTTTCCCAAACATTTTCAATGAAATAAGCCATTTAACATTTTAAGAGTATTATGTTTTGGGCGAAAATTATAATACTGATAATGACTTGTAAGTGAGTATATTTGGAAACATTTGGAGACTGGATTTTCAGTCTTCAGATCCAAGGAGTTCTCGAGATCTAGAACTGTTTGTGATATGCGGTAAAAATAATGAAAAAGACCTTAATTGAAACCGTTCGACAGATAGGCTCAGATAAATTATGCCGTCATAATCATGGGTGTACTGCTTTAGTCAGACAGGATGAAGCATAATTCCAGCATAATTACGAAAATTCTTGAGAGTAAATAGGTGAAACTGCGTTTCTAGCACTTTTACAATAACGTTTTCAGGGTCGTTTTTAGCATAAACTTCTCAAATACCGTTTCTACCACTTCTCTGTAGCTAGGTTACGTTATTGAAGGCCTGGCTACTACCTCACGCACTCAATAAGTGATAAATAAGTGTAGGCAAGGAACTTGGTCCAATAACATGATCTCTTTTGTGTGAAGTTGCAGTAAGCCACCCTTTACATTTTGTAATCTAATTTTATCCCTCGGTGGCAGGGAGAGGGGGGAGGCCTGGGGAGCAGGGGAGTAGGGGAGTTTAGAGGACGGGAGCATAGTTTTGGGCATGATATTTCGTTTTCATGGGTCACGTTCAAGAGTATAATATAATAAATTTTCGATTACAATATATCTGGCCCTAATCACTGATTAGTTTTCTGCCGTTTGACCACTGACGTAAACCCTATTGCGACTTTCTATTTCGAGATTGCTGAGTGTGCTGAGTGTTTCGTTACGTATTATCGAGGAGCCTTGGTGCACGACTCTTATTTCTGTGGAACGAGTCTGATTGCTAAGTTGTTTGGGAGACTCATCTACTTGCTATTTCACCACTAATACTGGAATAAGCCGATGATAAACATTATTGCAATTTCTTAGGAGCTGGCTATAAACCTTCCAGAAAATAACGAACATTTCACCCATATGACCTGTTCAGGTGTCCATAGCATGATGTGTTATTTATGGTGAACTAAACACTAAGTTCCAGGGAAGAACGTATAGCTCAAATTTATTCTGCCCTATCACAGTTTTTTTTAAGAGTCGCGGAAACTTTCTCCTTGTCATATTTCTCTTATCATGTTCACAGGAGGACAGCTTTTTTTTAATATCATCTCATGTTATTTCCCGTTTGTAAGACACTTTTTCGCGCTAAGGAAACTGAAATTAAACATTTAAGCTTGGTTTTATTTTTACAACGACTAGCCTCAGAACTCTGGAATCATCTGTTTTTAACTCGTTGGTTTTAACCACTACAATGTGCTGTTGACACGTCGACGTTCCACATTTTGTGAGAGCATTCACTAGGCGTTAATCACAGAAACTATCTTGTAATTGTTTATGGCAAGGCTTTTTCGATGAAATAAAGGCAGTTTGAAATTAAAAGAGTTCCTCTATATCTTTGGTAGTCTATGATATGTACATTTGTGTCCCATTGTATTTTAATGATAAAAATTTCACAATTTCTTTTGTTGAACTGATGCCGGGGTTGCTCTCGCCTTCATAGTAACCAAAAGTTGGTTTCTTTGTTCTTCAGTGTGGCCGAGAAAACTTTTTTCCCCTTACTTTTCTGAGACTTTTTATTGCTGATATCGCTGTTTTTATTTTTAAATGACATGCAAAGTCGAAGTTCAGTTTACGATGAGAAATTTTCCAAAGCAAAACGGCAGAAAAACAGAATTTTTGTCCTCGCGGAAAACATAGTCTTTCCGATGCAGATTGCATGTGTATGTTTCACTATAATGGTAAACTTGTTTGAATAATTTATGGTGATGTAACAAAATCGCTCGGACCAATCAGAATCAGTTTTCCACGATGAGTGTAATTATTTATAGATAACAATACAAGCGAATGCAAAGAGATCAGTGGGATAATGTCTGAAAAGTTTCAGTTTATCTAAAAATTCATTACATAGCCTTTTGTAAGCTTTAGATAACGTTAATTGCCTTATTTTCATTGTCCGAATTTAAAACTGTTTGTATATGATTGTAACCACATTATCAAAAGTGGCGGCAAGAAAATTTCTCACGGAGGAGGGGTTGGCTTGTGAAATTGAAGATGACCTCTGATACAATGTCGAAATACTTAATTGCGCAGCTACATTACGTAAAACAGCCGTGGGTGAGGGGGGAGGGGAAAGGGATGAGCGAAAACAGGCTGCACGATGATATAAAAATCTGTGTTGATCCAAAAATTCCGAGAAGTCTTTGATTGGAGAAATTCGAAGAGAATTTCGTCTTGTCATGAGCGTGGGACAAAGAAAAAATTCTGAGTCCCCATGAGGAATCGAACCTCAGACCTTCGGATTCCGCGCTCCAATGCTCTACCACTGAGCCACAGAGACTCTACGGTGAACGAGGTCTATTACGAAGTTCATATGACAAGCGTCCTGCATACTGCTTGGATCAGCAAAGTCTTGGATTATTTGCAAATGTAATATTTCTATCACAGAATTTTATCTTGACCATTTCCATCGTGAGTCCAACTTGATTTTTAATTTAAAAAAACCTTCCGTCAAACCTAATCATGCAACTTCATTAAACGTATTTCCTCGAGTAAGCACCGGAGCGCTATTGTAAAATTTCGGCTGAAAGGAGGGGCGTTTATCGGAAGGAAGACGCTTAATCAAGAAGGGAGCTTATTAACGAACTATTAATCTGTACTGATTCAGCTGTCGTTGAAACTTTAAAGGCAACAGAAACAGGTTTTCTTCGAAAGGGAGGAAATAGGCAAGTATTCAGTTATGATACAAGAATAGCCAATTGCTATCGAATACATAACTGTCGCACTAATCTTAAACAATTTACAATATTTTACCAAGGTCCTAAAATTTGGAATTCTCTCCTAATATCGATCACTGGTTTGACTAACTTTTTTACTGTAAAAAGAAAGATGATTCATTTTTTAATGAAATAAGTTCGGATTGGCCGAGCCGCACGCACAT